TATTGGGCTAAAGTTTGACAACCCCCTCCCTCTCAAGAAAAAAAAAAAAAAGAAAACGCAATAATTTAACGTTTTCACTGTGCAGGCGTGAAAGAGTACTCCTGTATGAAGGTAAAACTTTAGGGGAAATTTTTGGCCTAAAATAAGCTCTAGGGACGAGGTTTGTAACTTGAACAAGTTCAGAAGGTTATGTCTCGGCCACCTCAACGCCGTGCGAGTTTCCGTTTAGCGTAGCAGAGACTACCGTGAACAATGAAAAAATTGCCACGGAATATCAGCGATCCTTTTTGCCTCTACAGCTGAAGTAATAATTTACGAGTGTAAGTAAGTGTCTTTGGACTGTTCTGAACTACACATCGATGCTGATTTATAGTCAAAATTGTACAATACGTGCGCCGCTTATTACATATTCAGCAAAAGGCAAAAAAAAAAAAAAAGTAGTGTATCCTGACCTTTTTCATTTATATATATATTAATGCACGAAAGTGAACGACACCGATTAATTGAATAATAAATCCATTCAAGGGTGGCGATTAACTGGGTTAAAATTTTTAATCGACGCCCAGCCACAGTTACTACTAGCGTTCCCGGCCATGATTCACTCGGTATTTGTGATCTTGAAATTATATATTTACTGTCGCGTGGTGACAAAAACACCCGCTTCATCACTTCAGCAGAGGAATAAGCTGAGCTTCCTACTCCAGATAAAGTCGTGTATAATCGGCGAGAGGGTCACGGGAAGCTCCTGCCATCTCTTTCCACTTTAGCAGAACGAACGCTGGAGAACAGGTTTGCCTCCCCTCCAGCGTTCATTTCGGGAAAGAGGGGAAGGAGTTTTACCTTCACGGCGTCAACATCTTCCCAGAACGGCGCATTGCTTCTTTTTATTATGATTATTATGCAATCCCGAAAGCCACATCCAAAAAGAAAAAAAAAAAAAAAAACTACGTTCTACGAATGTCTTCTTGGCCGCTTTCTGCTACGCCTAAAAGCGACAGGCACGACAGAAACAGCGGACGGCGGCGGCGGAGAAACTGGTGCCGCGCTACCGACTTGCCCTTTTTGTCGGAGTGGCTGCACTTGTCGCCGGAGCGTATGTGCGCGCAGCACAGAGTGGTCTTTGTAGTCGCATTTGACTCCAGTCACAGCTAACGCACTCGACACGCAAATGTCGACTCAATCAGCGGCCACAAGTGTCCGACACGGCGTTGGTTTAATGCGAGTGTGAGCTATACCTGTCACTCAACGTTGCCATTCGGACATCTAGCGAAAGCGGCATATGCTATGCCCGTTCGTTCGACCTTGATTAGAGTCGCCTGCTCTGTTCAGTTCAACTTCCTTGTGGGCACCGCCATTTTAATGCTTAGTGCACCAAAATGGCTGAAACGTCTAAAAAAAAGAGGCAAGGCCTCGCAGACGTCATTGACGGAAGCAGACGGCATTACAGAGCGACTAACGGTTCAAAAGCGAGTTTTCGCAAATATATACAAAAGTGTTTGTTCTCTGAGCCCCAAAACAACGTGCAAAACGGTGAAATCAAACTTGGAAAGCAGCAACGACCGTTGAAATGCGATTAAAAGAGTCGAGCAGCATCTAATGAAGCAGGTAACAAAGACCATTTTTAAAGAGTCCATCGAGCAACATTGGTGGTCGCCATTTTTTTAGGGCATTGAAGCGTGTGATTGGATCCGGGTCTTCGCCGAAAGCTGACGCAGCACTTATTTTCGATCACGTGCTGAGCCGAGTTAACGGACAACGGTGACGCCACCCTAGTGTGCAGTACATTGTAACACGAGGGAAACGCGCCGCGTCCAAAATGGCAGCGCCCAGGGCCATTTGGTTTTTTTGGTGTCAGTATGGTGAGACTTATTAGCTTATGTATGTGTAGGATGTCACGTGAATCCTTAGAATGGTAGCCGTCGGCACGCGCCACACAGCTCAAAACAACAAAATGGCGGACGAAATTACGTGAGTGAATACTCCGTACAATGTTCTCTCGGTCGTAACGCTCTTGCGCCTCCCTTTGTGCGTCTGAGGTTTTTCGCCAAGTTATAGACCTTTGCGAAAATCGCCTTCTGCGCGCTGCCATCTTTGTCTGCTGGGCTGTGGAACGCCTTCTGAGCATGCGCTGTTGCTCTGCTGTGCGGTAGACCAGACGCTGCGCATGCGTCCACAGCTCAGTGACTCGGCATTTTTCGCCCGGGTGATAAGCGATGCAAAGGTCTATACCCCGTTCAAAACTTATATCCCACGCTAAAGTCAAAGCAAAATCAGAAACCAATTAATCGCGCGACGCCGGTTGACGTTCGAGATAAGACATACCCTATCGTTCTTGAAATTGTCACGACGCGATTATTTTTGCGCAGATGACCATTACAGGGGCCGTGCAATAATATGGGTCATGAACGTTTCTCTTTTAATAATTTTTCCTGGCACCAAGTATACGGTAAACCCAAACGCAACAGAACTGACCAGAAAGTTCCACTGTCACGGTGTAATTAAAAAAAAAAAAAAAAGGTGACTTTTTTTTTTTTTTTTTAATGAGAGGTTTAGTAGATTGCGTTTTGAGGACTCCGATAGCGATAGCCGATCCTTCGTCACCGCCTTGGGGCATGCACCGTATAATTATCGGTTATCGTTATTGGGGCGTATAGGAGGTATCGGGACGATCTAGTAAGACTCTCTACTCCTTCGCAAAAACCTGCTGACTTATAGTCATACGTATCGCAGTGTTGACGTATTCACAGGGCGCACCTGCAGGGTGACGACATTCCAATGCTATAGAGAAGACCGCGTGAGCGTTACAATTGGGCTCGTGACAATAAATGCCACGACAAGCATTCGGGTACAGACCGACGCGCTGTCTACAAACAAGACAGCGTTAGCACAGCGCACAAACCAGAACCGCGTGAAGCTTTTGCGCACGAGCCGTGGAAACAACAGCGCCACCGCTGCGGCATGACGTCAAAGTCGCGTGTTGGTGTTTCGTGACTCGTGTCCAATGGCTACAGGGACGGAACGAGGCATCGACGTGCCCGACAACGAGACAGCCTCGTCAGGCATGCCGATGCCTTTTGGGGCGGCCCAATAGACAACTGTATTCCTCGACGGAACCTCCAAAAAAGAACAAAAAAAAAAAAATTCTTTTTTTAACAGTTTGGGGGGGACATGTGTGTAAAAAAATTAATTTTAAGCGAAAAAAAAAGTTTTTTTTTTTTTTTTTAGAGGAATATTGACGGCGCGAGATGCGATTTAGTCGGCAGTCCCCTCCTTTCCACTTGTTTTCTCTCTGGGCATTTCGGGCGCGTGGAGGAGAGGTGGGTCGGCTTCGCCTTCACGACCGAGATGGTCCTTCCGGAATGAACCGTGACGTCATGGACTTCGCGCGCAGAATTTCAAATAAACCTCTCGCCGTCAATATTGCTCTAAAACTATTTGGGGGCGTAAAATTAATTTTTTTTTTTTACACGCGCGTACCAACCAATCTGCTTAAAAAAAAAAAAAAAAAAAAAATTTTTTTTTTTTTTTTTTTTTTTTTCTATGAGTTACTTAAATTCGGCACGTTCCCTCTCTTTGCCAACTCCAACGCGCAACCACGATGATTCGTGGCCGCTTGTTCTGGCTGCGAGTAAAGCTTGTGGAAACGAACGCTGCCAATTCTTGACAACTTCTCTGGGTTATTTTTTTTTTTTTTCTGCAACTGCTATTGTGTGGAGCAAAATATGAAGCGCAAAATAATTCTTCGAAGCACGGTGTCACGCTCGAACGAAAAGGGAAAAGTCGAGGGCTTCTCTCAAATCTTTGGTTCCCTTCCCGATAATGAGCGCGCGCTCACAGTCGCCAAAGGAAGAACAAACGGGAAACAACGGCGCACGGTGAGCGCGGATGTCGTTAGCTGACGGCCGCTCGGATCAGCAGCGGTGCTGGGCTTAATAGTTGCTAATGGCTGTCTCCAGGGAAGCAACCTCCTTTCCTTCCTCGCGGTCTTCTTTATTTATTTTTTTTTCCCTAAAGATGCTGCGAACTTAATTGCAGAGGTCCCAGCAGGGTAACAAACTTACTTATTTCAAAGATTATATATGTTAGCTTTTATATTCCGTAAATATCTAAAAGTAAACATCTAAAAGTGGAAAAGTCGACAACACTGTTCAAAAGTCGAACTTCGTCGAATTTTCCCCAAAAGTGTGAATGTTCGGCGATCAGCGCACCTCTAGGTTCGATAAAAGTTCGCAAAAACCCGTACTGTTTTCTTGTTTTGTCCGGCGACAGAAAATTTTTGAATTTTGGATTACGCCTGTTTTTAGTCAGAGTGGCTAAATTACAAGATATCTTTCTTTTTTATTTTTCGCACGACGCACGACGCAAATGCGCTGCGTTGCGTCGTGCAGCACAGCGCCTCCCCATTGGCTCGTCGTAAGGCCCGCTTCAGACGGGGAGGGTTGTTCCCTAGCTTTCCCTAGATTGACACCAATTGCTGAGATCGGGTCCGGTTCGAAAGGAGCGAGCAACTGAAGCGGCAGTTGCCAATCAGGGACGCAATATTTTTTTGACGTGATACCCCGTCCTGGTAATGATGACAACTAAAGGCTTGGTGTTTGTTTAAAATTAACCGTTTTTTTTTTTTTTTTTTTTTTAGGGAGGGGGAGGGGATAGACTGTTTTACAAAGATCAGTTAGTCACATATATAAACGCATAAAAGCACGTTCATTGCGCGTAAAGGCCTGTCTGTCTATGCTAGATCGCAAACTCAACGATGGAGTTAACTCAATCGGTCGCTGATTGGCTGCCCTTTTGGTCACGTGATGTGACGTTGCGATTGAGTTTTTCCCTACGGATTCCGATGGAGTTCGAGGTATGCTGGTGAAATAATAAAGTTAGCGGTGACGTCAAAATGTCGTCACGATTGAGTTTGGCGATTGAGATAACTTTGTAGTCGGGGGGCAGCCGGAGTTGAACTCCATCAGTAAAGATGGCGACCCTCACGTACGGGGCGCTGTTGTTACGTTCGGAGTCGGAGCGCGTTTTCCGGGACCACCGCGACGCCTTCGATATGTCGGAGGCTAGGTTTGTGCGTGAATACCGCCTCACGAAGGACGTAGCCCGTTGGCTTTGCAACGAGCTCCGCCGAAAGCTCCAACGACGTCGCGTGGGGCCTCATGTGCTGACCGTGGAGCTGCAAGTGCTCGTCGCCCTCCGTTTTTATGCCGCTGGCGGCTTCCAGGGAACAGTGGCAAGCGATGAAAACATTGCAATTCATCAGTGCAGTGTAAGTCGCGTGCTGGTGGACGTGACGGAGGCAATCATCGATTGCCCCGGTCCAGCGTGGGTGAAGTTCCCGCAGACGGACCAAGAGAAGGCGGCAGCCAAGAGGAAGTTTTACCTTCTGTGCGGCTTCAGTGGCGTGATCGGTAAATACCTTCTATGTAGTAACACTGCTGTGTCTGACAGTCAATCAATGCGCTTAGTCGAGAGTTTTCGGTGGAAAATAGAATTTGGAGGTGATAGCTTAATCAATCTAACGACTTATTAGAGCACACGGACATGATATATATAGGGGCGAGAACTATCGTAAGTTGGCGACCCCCAGGATCAGAAAATTGTTCCGATTAACTATGTTGCAGCAAGCTGTATTCATTCTCGTGTTTTCATTTGCCCTAGCATGGCACCAGCCCTTCTCCTTGAAGTTTTGTGTTCATAGAGATGAAGTGAACTGTTGCTTGATTAATAAAGGTGCTAAAACCATTTTGTGTTACAGGGTGCGTTGATGGGACTCAGATTGCCATCCGGGCTCCATCTGAGAACGATGAACGGTTCTCTAAGGCGGCATACTGGTGCCGCAAAAACTACTATGCCCTCAATGCTATGGTGGTAAGTGTATTTTCACAGTTCCAAGTTATACATATGTGATAGGTGGCCAGAGGATGCTTCTGGTGTGCCCACCATGTATAAAGCACAGGTTGTCAAAAAGAAATCGGAGTAACAATGTGCGTGCCTGGCATGTGCTCGTCAATTCCCGGTCTGTTCCTCGAAGCTCAATGGATATCACAATGCAGGGAAACTTAACAGTCTGGAAATACTAATAGACGGATCTCACTAGCCATTTTAACTATGCCACTGCTGCCGCAATGCCTCGAGGGAACTTTAGTTCTTCTGCACGTGCAACAACCCCACTGGAACTCTGCACGTGTAGAGCAGGAGATGGCATGAGTCCTCATGCACTGCAGTGTGCCTCCTGCAAACTAAAGTTGTGGCGGCACCACGCATGCGCCAAACGCTTGGTGAGATGTATATTCAGTGAAAGATAACTAGTAGACTTGGAACGGTTTTTAAAAGTGACGGATGGCGAAATCATTTAACACATTAAAGGCACGTTCACCCTGGCGAGTAGCGACACGCGACCACTGCACATTCACACTGCCGGTGTTCGGCGAGTCACTTCTCAGTAGCCGCAGTCGATTCAGTGCACCCCGCCACAGCTTGGGTTCGCATTTCGCTACTTTTGCATTTTTGTTGTCTGACAGCTGCACGTGTGTCATCATTACCATATGAAAAAGACTTGTTATGTTGACTTGAGTCCTTCGGAACCATACAGAGATAGAAGAACAATTGCTACTTGGGCGTGCACTCACTCGAGCTGCCGCGTCTCAGCACATACCTAGCAAGAAGCGGCACAGACTTGCTGCCAGGCCGAGTTCTTTTTCCGGCGCTAGTTGAAATCGGGCTGCTGCGTTTATAAAGCAATGGGCATTATTTAATAGCGGGGACCAGAGCCGCGCCGCAGAGACCTCCGTGGTTTTGTATCCCCATCCACTACCGCGAACCGAGGCATTGAACAGACATGTCGGTTGCTTCTGGCACAAATATTCGGCGTACCGGATGTAAACAAATGCGAGGCGCACTCATGTCAGATCCGAGGGGCCACTAATTGGTTCTGCTGCCGGGGAACCGCGACAAGTTGCAAAATGTCCTCGAAGCGACTGCTCCCGACCTGTCGCTTTTGATAATTGCGACTGTCACTTCTGTGACAAAAGTTGTTGTGCAACAGCTGCGACTTGCTGGTGTGAACGTGCCTTAAGGGTCTTTAACGAGTACATCATACATGAAACTTATTTGTTCATAAGATTGGCAATTCGTGACAACAGGCATTGTGTTACTCAAAGACGCATCTCTCTCTTCCACTTGGGACAGCATGGAGCAACATGTGTTCGGCCAGCTCATTGAGAGCCAAATCGTTGAAGATCAACTTGTCGAAGACTAACTTATCATAGGCTAATTCGCAGAAAGGGGAAACCTGTTGCATGGCAGTTTGTCGAATTATCTGAGATAGATTTCTAGGTGAAGGTCTCTGGTCAAACAATCGCACAATGGAAAGCAGAAAAGATTGAAGATACACTTCTTGGAACACTCATATCACACATTTGTCCCCTGTGTCCTGAATCTCCTAGAATATTAGTGTTGTGATTTCTAGTTTTACGTTTTTCTCATCGTTGGGTTGCTAGCATGTAGTGATGGGAGCTCATAATGTATCTTTTAAGGTTCGAATCGAACATGTGAACATAGTGCTTCCTGTCCAGAGTGTATGAACTGATAATGTGCAAAAGAACAGAACACTAACTGGTCGGTTGTGATTCAAGCTAAATGCAATGTTAAAAAAAGTGGCAACCAGATTACCTCTTTAGCTAACTGACTTTCGACGAGCTGCCCTATTACGAGCTTGCCTATTCGACAAGTTGGCCTTCGACGAGATGTCCTTGACCCGTACACCCCGCACAAGTTATGCTCATATCATTTTATTTATTTTCCTCTCTTCTTTTACCGCCTCTCCAGCAAGATGCGGTTAAGGCTGAGGTTATCAAAACCTCTCAGCTGTTGTGATGTTGCATGCTTTAGGGTCACAGTACAGTGCACATTACCTCTACACGCATTAGACTCTAATTACACTCTAAGAAACGTGACCAGTAATTTTAATATTAATTTATTACTTTTAGCTTTAAAACTTATTGCAATCTGTATTGAAAATGGCTTTTTTTTTCTTTTTAACCTTAGTAGTTGCAAAATATGAATTGCGCTACCAACTATATTATGGTTTTGTCGCTCTTGAAGTCACAGGCAAGGGAAAACACCCCGAGCGTTTGCCTCACTGCCCTTCTGCCAACTCGTGGAACTTTGAAAGCGCCAAGACTGGGCGCCGACTGTGGAGCTGAATGACCGTCGCGCCGCAGGCCTCCGCGACGCCAATGTGGTCGTGCCTTAAATGTGTGTCTACATAGTGCAAGAAAATTCAGATTTAATGATGATGATGACAGCAAATTGCGGCAATCGGTTGCTGCGTGTGAACGCGAGCGGCCCGTGTTGCTGGTACTGCGACGTCAAGTTGCTGGGAGAAATTTCCCCGTCTGAAATGTTATTTTTCTAGCACTATTTAGACACAGAGTTAGGCGCTATAGACGTGTTTTTGTAGATTTAAATTTCATAGAGAATACTTATCCATCTTTCGGAACGGTTTATTTCCAAAAGCGATCAATTTCAAACCAGAACCAAGTCTTTAGTTTTCATTGACTCATTACCACCGGCACGGGGTGTCACGTGAAAATATCGCGTCCCTGATTGGCTGCTGCCGCTTCAAACGTCTTCGAATTGCTCCGAGTTGCTCGCTTGTTTCGAGCCGGACCCGATCTCAGCAATTTGTGTCGATCTGCAGGGAAAGCTAGAGAACAAGCCGCCAGCAAACAAAAACTTGCCAAGAAAGTTGTCCCGTCTGAAGCGGGCCTACGCCCTCCGCTACTAAGAAGCCGCTACTGCGCCTGCGCGCCCAAGGGCCTGACTGTAGGTTTCCGGGTATCGTATAGCGGGTTGCAGAGAGCGTTGCTGGACGGCGAAAACGATCTACGAAAACTCCCTATTGTAAAGTGATTCCCTTACTTATACACGTAAACACTTCGCTGTAAATCGCTACATTTTTATTCACAAAAAAAGGCGGGAATCTGGAATCGAATAGGCTACCCACCAGCCCCCCCCCCCCCCCCCCCCCGCCCCCCCTTCTCCCCCCCCCCCCCCCCCCCCCCCCCCAAAGAAAATAGGGAGTTTTCGTAGATCGTTTTTCCTGTCGCGCAACGCTCTGCGCAACCCGCTACGATACCCGGAACTCTACAGTCAAGGTCATTAGCGCGCAGGCGCAGTAGCGGCTTCCTCGTTGAGGAGGGCTTAGCGGAGGGGGAAACGCGGTCTACGGAACCCCCCTAATTAGTGTTCATTTCGGTAAACTTGACCGCAATCACGCTATTTACAAACGCAAAACGAGGCCTGGCTTTCTTCGATTGCTCGAAGCCTTTCTGTACAATGCCTAACATGTGTTTGTTTTCTTTTCTGCAGGTTCTAACGACAAAGCCAGAGGGTCCAGGTGGTTATTTCTATACAAAAACATGTTCAAAAGTGCGGGCGAGCTGGCGTAGTGTATCTATATATCTCATCTTTTTTTTTATTGCGATAGCAGTTAGTGGGATACTTCGCGGGTTTCGCGCCGTCGACCGCGCTTCATAGCGACGCGGACCATTTACGGCACTCCGCCAAAAGATTCACATTGACGTCACGCTGCTGACGTCACGCCGCGCATCACGTCATATCTGGTATCTGGAGTCAGCTGACACCATGACGTGACACGTTATAAGTCACGTTGCACAGCCACGCGACTTAATGACGTCAGGTGACACGGTCAATCACGTGATGTCATGACGTCACGTGACACTGTCATGCCACGGGACATTGAAACGCCACGTGACAATACGTCGTCACGTAAAACCGTGACGGCATGCAGAAACGTAAACATGAGTCTGCTGATAATAGAAACGATAAAAACAAAGCGTTTTCGCTAATTATGCCAAAGGCACTCGGGCCATAAAACCAAAAAAGTAGGTGGGTGTTCAGCCGGCTAAACCACGGGCGTCAAATCAGGTGTAGCTACACCCTTGAAACTTGAGTGCGCGATTTTGGAAGCGTTGTTGAGTGATTCCAAGGCGGTGTGTGGGAAGGGTTCATGCATACGCATGCAGTTCCGTCGTTCCCTGGATTTCCAACTTGGGCGCGCTATTTTCGAAGTGTTTCTCAAATACCACGAGACGGTCCTAGTTAATTTAACAGGTTGACGGAATGCTCTCTACTTAATACGAGCTAATTGGTTCCAAAACCCTATGGAGCTTTCGTCGGGGTGTTACTCGGTTTACTAAGAAATCGCCTGTGCGGACCCTATGATGCGCGCTTGCACCTTTATAGTTCATTCGGTCCATCTGCTCGGAAATAAATGTTTTTTTTCGATTGAAGATGGGAAAAGGTCACTAAGCAATTGTTTGCCTCCTCGACAAGCTCAAGGCAGTCACTGCTTTCAGAAATATTAAAAATGCCCCTCTCGGTTTTTGTGAATACGACCATTTTCATAATGTCACTGAGATGGGACGCACTGAAAGCGACGTGATAATAACTGAACGTGTTCTAGTTACAAGCGTCCTCGTGTGTTGCTAGCAGCTCAAAGAATATTAGAATACTTTTCTTGAAACACAGGATGAATTTTTCATTTTCTTTTTTGTGCTGCTTTTTTTGCTGTATTTGATGAAGACAAATTTGATTTTAAAAACTGCTAGCATCCTTGTTGTCACACCTCTAGAACAGGCCTAACGTTATCTGCGTCCCTGTTTATTGTAAGCCTTTTAATGCAACAGCTTTTAGTAAGCTCGTCAAGAATAGTAAAGATTTTTTTAACCACAACAAAACTTTTTTATATATATATAGCACGTATAGTTATTTTTATTTTTGGTAAAAAAATAAAATAAAATGGTTGAGATGGCGGACTTGAGGAGGAAGTAAAACCCGTGAGCGGGGCTTGGGTCTCTGCCGTTCGCGTAGCGCGTGGCCTCAGGGGACGTCGATCTGAAGAACACTGAGGTCTGCCGGCCCGTGCTCCGTGCGTTTTCAAAATGCGTAAAGAAACGGTATGTAGGGAAAACATGCGCTTAACTTTTATTGCTTAAACCAACGTTCTAATTATATTTTTTTTATAAATGTCCTGGTGTTTTTTTTTTTTTTTTTCAATTTATATTTATATTTAAAAAAAGAACTGGTTTATTCTATTGTTATTTAAAGTCTCAACTAAGGCTCGACCTGGTTAGAGCCAAGGGAACATGAATATATATAAACCGCATTTATTATTTAGTGACCACGTATAACTACCGCCTTACTACCTTTGTGTTTGCATGAATGACGGCATCTACAGCTTCGCGATTCCGACGGCACGAAGCATCGGCTGCAAAGACGCTTTTCTCTTCCTCGAAAGTAAGTGGAGCACTTCCATCGCTTCGCTGGAAAAGCCCGATGCGGTGCTCCAAGCATACGTGAGGCACAATACGGCACTCCCATGCAGTGCCCCAGTTAAAAGACATCTGCACGAAGAAACCAAGCAAGACGTCTGGCCACACATTTGAGAGCCAGCTACAGCAATCTGGCAAGTAATGCCACAAACGTGACGGATTACTTTTTGGTGTAACGGTCACTTAATTTTATGGAAGGGTTATCGTAGCGGTAATTAAATACAATTCAGCCGCGAGTAACTGTAAATGTAATTCCTTAGTTCCTTTTTGTTTTAGGTCGTTGTAGTTTATGCAGATCCATCGTATCATTATAGGGTATCCTAATCAGAGGTATCCGAACGATTTACTAAAGCCCCCTTAACGTTTCAGAGGGTTTGTAGGCCAGTGCTGATTATATACTCGTGAATACGTATCGTGTCACAGAAACGTAGAAAAGAAAAATGACAAGAAAGAAAAGCTCAAGGCCACCGCTGTTCCCCCGCCGCCGCAGCGGCATGGATGGATGGACTCACCTGCAAAGGAAGCTTATCCCATCGCTGCCGCGTCTCGTGGTACCTCTTCTCGAACGACTGATTCCAGTAACTCTTGGAGAATCTCTTGAAGTCGAGCTCCGCGAAGACATCGGGCGTCCTGATGTCCACGTCCGACCTTGCGGGCACGGCGATGCACTGTTCGCGCCCGCTCTTCCTCGTCGCCTTGGTCCACGGCCAAGAGAACGGGGTCCGGTGATGCTGCAGCCGCGAACGAGTCGAGCTGCTGTGCTGCGACGACGAAACGCCGGTCCTCTTCGCGTCTCCTTTGTCGTGGGGCGACGCCGCCGCTCCGTGCCCGACGACGTCGTCCAGCGGCGGAGGCTGATCGCTCACCTTAGACTGGTGGTAGAAGAGCACGAGTCCGACGGCCACGAGAAAGCAGGCGACGAGGGCTCCGCGGACCTTCGCCTTGCGGCTGACACACTTCATCTCGTCGCGCAGGTAGCACCACTGAACGACGACGTCTACTTCGAGCCCGATGGCACACCGTCTCTGCTCCCGTCGTCGCCCATCGGAGGAGCTGCAAATGAAGCGCGCGGAGACGACGACTGCTGTCCGATGTTAGCCGACGCTACACTGCGTGACGCACGTCAGGGAGGCTTCCTCACAACGCCGCCGGACTCTCCTCCGCGAGCGCGACTCCTCGGTTCGGGAAAATCGAACTGCGAGAGGACGGCGGGGACGCCGAGTTGGCCGAGCCAGCCGAGCCGCCGAGCCGTCGATGAAGGAGCGTCCTCTGACGGAACTTCGGGCGAGCCGCTGCGGCCGCTCTGCTGCTGCTGCCGAGGTGATTTCTCCGGTGCGCTGTGTGGCGCCGAGGTGGGCCCCAGTAGGCCCGATACCGCACGCTGACGGGCGCAAGTAAACAGACACAAAGACGGATTGAGAGCAGCGTGCCAGCATGTCGCTCACTGGGTCAAAAGACGCCGTGCGGTAGCGTCTCGACGAGCGCGCTGCTGCTCAAACCTGCGCTCTTTTTCTTTCTCTTTTACGGTGAGCTTTCCCCCACTCTCTTTCTGGGACGTTTCTTTTTTTTTTTTTTTTTGCACTTTTCGTGAGTGCGGGACGGTGCTTGAAGGGCCGCGCCGCCGCCGCCGCTGCGCGTTGGTGCCGCCATCTATCGAGTTCTAGGTCACAGTGTCAAGCGCACCAGCAGGCGCTCAATCTTGGCGGCTGTCGAGAGGTCAGGGCGATTTCAGCGTTGGGGGGGTCGCTTTCGGGGGCAGGGCACAGCTGGGGGGGGGGGGGGGGGGGGGGGGGGGGGGGGAAAGAGTTAAATTTAAATTTGCGGAATCGGCAGTGCCAGTAAAAAGAGTGGGAAAAAACCAGGAAGTCTAAAATGGAACGGAAAACGCGCCAGTCTGCCGTTCCGGTTTAATACACCCGGGCCGGCTTGCTACCAGTGGGCGCGTTAACCGCGCTCCTTAGAGAAACCGTTTATGTTCAATACGCCTCGCAAGTGGGCTCATTTTCGTCTTCTGCGCATGAGAAAGGAAGTAGCGGTGACGTCAGAACGCCGAGCCCTGATTGGCTGATCGCGACCCCCTATCTGAGCGTCGTCTGCTCCTTTGCAACGCCGTCTGCTCGCAACGTCGTCTGCGTCTGTCTCACCTTTCCTGTGACTTTCGGAAGTGCAGGTCTTCACGAGCGAGCTCGACTTCGCCTTTCAGAGAGGGCAGACGAAATAACTCGAGCGGTACGTTGTTTTCGTTTAACAACTAGCAGACGCGCATCAAGGAGGGAAGTCAAAGGACTCACTGGCGAGGTGTCCCGAGGCGCCGAGGTTTGTTCGCTAAGGACCGAGAGTGAGGGTGGTTAGTGTCCGCAAGTTCCCTCCCAAATACTTTTTCCCTCCTTTCGTGTGCGGCGAGACCCCTCACTCTTTAACGGCGTCTGCGGGTTGGCGCAGTTAACGTCGTCTGCTTTACGTCTGCTAGTCGAAGCGATGGCTGCTTTGCCTTTTCTGCGTCTGTCGGAGATTCACCGCTTTTTCACCGGCGAGAGTCACCGTTGCCTCGGGAAACAAGGAGATAACAAGAGGAAGAAATTGACCTCTTAATCTAAAATTGAGGACAGCGAGCAAAGTTTAATACGGGAACGGTTCACAAGGGTCGCGCGGGCATATTCCATTCAGCAGGCCAGCCGGTCGTGGGCAGACGGTCGCCGAGTCGCGGAGTGCCTGCTAGGCCTAACTGCCGATCTCGCTTGGTCGCGTTCGGTGGAATCGTGGCCGTTGGAGCTTTTCCCGGGTGTTTGTGGACCGAGCGTTCTTGTTCGTCGTGGTCTGTTTCAAGTACTTTTTACTTTTTTCTTGCTGCTTGAAGTCGGGACGCGTGAGAAGCGCACGTAGAAAAATAAACGTCCGTGGGTCGTCGCGACCGCGACGCTGCCGGCCATGCTGATTTGATAGTAAGAAGTGCGTAAGACAGCTTCAGAGCTGTCGTAGGATTTTGTCGTTACCTGCGCAAAACTTACGAAAATTTCGTTTCGTGAATACTTACGCACATTTCTAGCGTAAGATTGTTTCGTGAATCTGGCCTCTGCACTTCCGAAAGTCGCAGGAAAGGTAAGACAGACGCAGACGACGTTGCGAGCAGACGACGTTGCAAAGGAGCAGACGACGCCCAGATAGGGGGTCGCGATCAGCCAATCAGGGCTCGGCGTTCTGACGTCACCGCTACCCCCTGCGCAAGAAGCAGACGAACTTGCCCTCCGCATAGGCCTTCCCGTAAAAACCCAGGAGACCTTGCAACGGGGAGAATTGCGGGGCTTTTCGGATGTACGCTCGGTGCAGTCTCGAATGCTTCGTACATCATGGTAGTAGCGCGATTCGCTTCTTATTATATCGGGCATCCCCAAATAGCGGCCAGGTTCTTTAAATCGACCGCAAAATGCGGTTTCTTAACCTACCGCGCTACAATTTTCTACAGAGTTGTCCACAGGTGGTGCGTTTTTACAGCGGAGCTGTTAAAGGGGCCCTGCAACAACTTTTTGACTCGTTTTTAATTTGCACCGGGCCTGAGCGCACTGGTAGCAAGCCGGCCCGGGTGTATTAAACCGGAACGGCAGACTGGCGCGTTTTCCGTTCCATTCTAGACTTCCTGGTTTTTTCCCACTCTTTTTACTGGCACTGCCGATTCCGCAAATTTAAATTTAACTCTTTCCCCCCTTTCTATGTATCTTCCTCATGTCTAATTACCGTTACCAACACGCTCGTTTTGTTCTTAACTTAAAGAAACTTTTCTTTTCTCAAATTTCGCTTTATTTTAAAAGTTATAGGCAAATTAGAATTACAAAAACAAGCAAAAAATAACCTCCTTCATGACGTCGTAGGTCCTGGCTTGAGTGGCCGTGAACTAGCGGAGGAGTAGTGAGCTCATCAAGCGCTCACGGCCAGGGTGTCGAACCGAAATTTTTATCGGTTCGGTTCCGGTTCGGGTTCACGGCTTTCGGTTCGGTTCCGGTTCAGTTCCGGGGAGCAAAAAATAACGGTTCAAACCGGTTCGAACCGGTTTGAACCGGTTTGAACCGCTAAATTGAGAATATATTTTTTGCGTTGTTCTGGCAATATACACTATTTACGCCGTAAAACGAATAACTATATAGTTTCTTCGATCGTCCGTGCACTTTACTTTTGTTTTTAGGCGCCAAAAATGTGAAATTCAGTTATTTAATTTCGACGCAACAGTAGAAGAAAATCTACATTAACATACATCACGACGTGTTCATACGACTCAACATCCTTTTGTTTACCAGTAACATATATTTTACCTGAATCAAAATGTTTAAGTACAAGAGTAAAGAGTTGAGCTTATTGGTACATGCCTGTAAATAGATCAGCTTCAAATTTAGAACTATACTGTGTTTTCTTGTCTTTTCTTCATGTTTAAGTAAAATTCTAAAGTTCAAGCTGATCTATTTACACGGTATAAAATGTCGCGAAGTGTGGTAGGTCGTCTAAAATACCCGTGATTGGTACAACTTTGTGTCGCAGTATTAAAAGTGAAATCGTCTTCTTGAACTAAGGAATTAATTACATCACATAAAATTATGAAATGAGCTCTTCGTGGCGATATATATCATGAAATAAGGTTCACGAAATACACTTTACAACATATATGTATATGATGACGACCCAACAGAGCTAAAAGCAATAAAATTCTCAAAATGTAACAAATGTTTTAGGATAATTCCTTTCAGTCTATTTTTATAGAAACTACGAGCGGCAATCTAAATGCCTGTTGTATGCGACTAATCATGGCGCAAGGAGTAATTGCACTTGTTCACTCTAATATATACGCACCTTCGCACTCAGATCGAATCTGGCCCAAAATAGCACTTGCCCAAGTGAACATTTTTTTATACAGAATAAGCTGGCATAGCCTGGCTGTTGAGGTTTGTTCTGGACAAGATGCTGGACAATTTAATTTGCAAATGAGCATCACCCTTGCTAATTGATGATTTTAACACGATAGCGTTAAGGAGCTCATGTCGCAGAAAAGCCAATGCTTGTGGCGTGACTGGAAAATCCTGGTTGGTCGATAGCTTCATGACATCAGAGCTACATACCCTCGCGCAAGAATTTCAAACAACCCAAAATGCTTACGTGAAACGTGACATCACGCGTGGAATGAGAGTGATTAAAACATGACATGTAATGCGAGTTAAAGCTTGCCGTATGTCTCAAATGATTTCACTTTTGAAGGTAATTCCTTTGCCTTAAATAAAAAAAAAAATTAAGAATTTTAGACGGGATTCGAACCCACGACCCTTTAGTTGCGAGTCAGACGCTTTTCACTAGGCCAGGCGAGGCACGCTTGCGCGGCAAATGAGAATGCGATGCAAACGAGGCCCGTTGACGCTATTGCGTTCCACTTTTAAAGGCGAATCTTTAAGCTTCCTTCAGGATTTTTTTTTTGTTAAATAAAATGAAGTAGTATTTCAGGTTCTACTCGACATGGCAGCTACTTGATTAGACACTTTCTGGCGGTTTGCCAGAAAGTGTCATCGTCATAGTGCCGCCGTGCGCCCCTGTTTACTTTGTTTTTGTCCATCCCACAGACACATAAAAGTAACGTTCACCACATAAAAAAGGCAATAACAGACTTCTATATGTTTGAGAAGTTATATGTGTGAGAAACACAAAACACATAGTTATTTAAATTAGCTTCAAAATCCGAAACGTATGTAAGGCCGCCCCATATCACTTACAACGTGCCTGTCGAGGATAAAAACGCCGGAAAATATTGGCAGAAAACCTTTCAAATAATTTGGGGGGCATTGCTTTAGGGTGGTCGGCCCTCTATTTATGTTGTCAAATATTCAGTTAGTAAGTAAATATATATTTATATTGATCAATAAATTTTACTTTATAAAGTTCGCATAACCGCTTTAGACCGACGCAGAAGGACGATACTCGAAACTACGCGAGCTGTGGAGTATGCGTAAAAGTGTTTTACTGTTTTCTTATTGGCAGTGTGAAACATCGGGTTGCAGGCCACGCTAAAAAGGACTCTGTGCTCACATGATGAATTGGAAGTCAAATACACGAAATGTTCAAAAAGGGAAAGATAATTAATTTTATTTTTCCAAATAATCACTTGCAGAACGCCTTACTGCAAAAGAGATACGTAAAGATGCACGCAATAGAATTCATGATTTTACATAAATAGCGCGAAGGACAGACGAAGATTCTTAAAATCTTAGTATAAATTACATTTCATCAGCTTGCATGAGCTCGAAACTTCGCGAAATAGTGCCTCGGGAGGCTAATGTTATATTCGGTTTTACCTGTACTTGTTTTAGGCCCTCACTTTACAACACTATGCTAGAAGAGTCATGCGCTCTAACATTTCTCTAGGCTGCCATATCTCATCGCGAGACTGCTATAAATACTACACAACTTTACAATTAGGACATCTATTGCTAGCGTTGCGAATTTCACATTTCACCAGAAAGCTGA